TGTGATCATCATTCAGGATAACGGTGACCCACCAAAGTCCAGTTCTGTGAACATTACAGTAACTGTGGATGAGAAGGGCACGGCAAACAATGCTCCACCAAGCCCTCGTCACACACCCTTCAACCACCGCACTGGGATGTCGGACATCACCTTGTACCTCATCATCTCTTTAGCTTGTGTTTCAGCTGTGTCCTTCATCACCTTTGTCGTCCTCATGGTACGCTGCCTTAGGCACCGTGGCCCAGGGCTGGGAGATTCTGACTGCTGCTGCTGCTATGGTCGCCACAGGACCAGCCGCTACCATCAGAGGCCCAGCAAGGACCTGCACCTGCAGCTCAATACTGATGGACCCATACGCTATATGGAGGTAGTGGGAGGCCCCCAGGATCCGCACACACGGACTTACAGGCCCTGCTACTCCACCATATCCAGCCGGAGTGATTTTGTATTTATGAAGACCCCCATGCTGAGTCACAACAACACACTCAACATGACACTCAGCAGGAAGCACCTTATGAACTCAGCCAGTGAGGTGAGGGATTACGTGGGAGAACAAGCATGGCATTGGTGGGATACTACCAATAGAGGTGTTTCAATATCTATCGAATGGTATATCTATACAATGAATGGCTTAAAATGATAATTTCAATGTTTTGACTCTTAAAAGCAGATTGCAAACCTAGATCTCCTCAGTCACGTACCTCTGCAGTATTTTATCTGCATTTGTTTCAGCAGGAGTATCCCTCTCTCGACATGGTGAAAAGCACTTAGAGCTTTGTTGTCCTACTAGAAAGGTTTGGGCAGAGTGAAGAACAGTTTACTATTTAATGTGACCCCAGGCTAGGAAATGTGGTTACTATCTACTACTATCCAATAACTAAACTAACAGAGAGGAACTGTTCTTTATGGATGAGAAAGATACAGATAAAGACAAAGTCAGACAGAAAGAAGTTAGTTGTAGATAGGCAAAGAAAGGGCAAAGGGAGAAATGTAAGTGCTCCTAACAGATGGAGAGGAGGAGACAAACAGATGAAAATAGGTCCTGCAGTGTTGGCTTAGTGGAATGGCTGGGAGACAGAGGGGAACAGGATGACAGAGGGAGAGATGGGGGGTGAAGGAGAGGAAAAGGGCCAAGGAAAGAAAATGGTAAGGGCGGGGGATAGAGTAAAAGAATAAAGCCGTAGCCAAAAAACAGGAATTCATGAGGTCAGTGGCCTGACCCCTGACTTCCTGTTGTCCTCTGAACTTTTGGTGATTGGTTCCAGCACTCAGCATCATATGAGTGAGGCTGTTCTGGCTGTGTAAGTTCTGTACAGACATTTTTCTCATTTCCATTCTTAGATCCTTGGTCTTTCTCACTCTCTCCTTCAATCCGTTCTCAGGGTTTATCCACAGTCATGTCATGTTTAATGTAGAGTTGCTGATTGAAGGTCATTTTTGTTGCTGTGGAATTTTGCTGCTAACTGTTTCTTCCCCACACAACAGGAAGTTTACCCTAGTGTCTGTTTAATATCTATAAAAATTTCCAGTTTCTCTGTGCTGAATTAGGTTGTCCCTCAGGTCAGCAGGGTACCATCTGTCTTCCTGCTCTAGTGACACGTGTGCAATGAGGACAACAGAGGAAAAAGAATTAGGGACAGATAAAGGGAAAGGAAGGATGGCCGTACGTGTGCCACAGATGGCATAGGCTATAGCGGCTTTAGAGTAGCAGTGTGGTCACTGTGGGAAGCTTACATGTGTACAAAGCATCAGGCACAAGAAGCCCTGCTAGTAGTGTGTAATTTTAGCAGGACCCTGGGGCCTTAGTGCACGATTGTTAGTCACTTCCCACTGGCTCTTCTTTGTATCCTCTTTACATTTGCAGTGTGTTGTTTGGCACATTGTGCTAGCACAGATAGTTAAAAGGTTTGATGGCCTGCAACATGTAAATCTGTGCATTAAAACAGAAATATTCCCATGATGAAGGGAGCTTTCTGGCTCAGTGGACAAACATGCCATGTAATCCTGTTGTCAGTTTTTCACTCTTTGAGTCTGTGGGAGTTTATAGGGGTTGGCACATGCACCGAGGTAGGCCGGGTGTTTTGTAAACATACTTTTTTATGGATGATAAAGCTGCACATGCAACAAACTGGCTCATGCAGTTCAGAAAAAACAGTTCTCAAGGGTTTTGGTCAGTTGAGTCATGATGTTCGTTTAAGGGAGAGGAGTATTAAAATCAAACACCACACATTATGCTTTAACAGCGTATAGAGTCAGGAGTTACATATCCTGTTTTTCTGTATATTTTTAGATTTCTAATGGTGTAATCATTGCTTATCATTAGAGAGCTCTGTCTCTGGAAATAATGAAAAATAGCTGGGATGTGTAAGTATGCCTGTCTTCTGAAGTTTGGATATTTAGATGGTGTGGTGTGTATTTGTGTGTGTGACACTGCTTCTTCTTTTCAGACCAGAGCACTAGCTGCAGTCCAGCCACAGTTCTTTTAACAACAATACAATTTGTGTTTGTGATAGGAAGCTGCATCTTCCGCAAAGAGTACCAGACAGACCTGTTTCTGTATGTACTGTATTTTTTCGTCCCTGTCAGTGAGAGCGGAAGGGATGAGATTATTTAGATTTTTCTTTTGTATACCTGGATAAATCTTTGTGTATCATGATAAAGAAGTGGTTAACCGGTAAACCAGATGTTTTATTTAAGTTCACATTCACATGCTTTCAAAATATTTTGGATAAAGTCCAGATGGGCCCATGCGCTGATCAGTCCAGCTTGTACCGCCTTATGAATCCAGCTCACATCATGGATATCCATCTCATGTTTTAAGATGACTGACAGAAAATGTGTTGCACTAGCTACTCAGACTGGCAGTAATTCACCTGGGGAGCCCTAAAAGCTCTATGGCTCAACTTAAAGATGTAAGGGAAGCAGACTGACAGTTTTTAAAGCTTCCAGGCTGGTATGAAGGTCTTTCTGTAGATGAGAATTCAGGCCCACAGAACTGTAATCCCTACATCTTTCTCCATTGGCCTAGTCTCCCTGAGTAGTCTATTTGACCTTCTCTTTCCATCTCCTGCCTTTAAATTTAACTTTCACTCTGAAAAAAGTCTTCTGCATTTTTAATATTTTCATCTGTCTTAAGGGATTGACTCAGAGTCATGTAACAAAAAATCTAAAGATGGTCAGATAAATGGAGCTAAAGTCAATTAGGTTTTGATCCCTGCTGTATGCCATTAAACCTAGCTTGAGATTTGTTTTCTCTGGCAACTGTTGTCTAAACCATCTTGAGAAGCAGCAACTCTTAACAGTTTGTGGTTCAGCAGGTTCTCAGTTTGACTTTCTTCTTGAGCAGAAGAGAACTGCATTCTTATGGATGTTACCCCTCTGCTTGTGATGTGTTTGTGCAGCTAAGCTGTCAATAATGAGGCATTCAGACAGAATATGAGGTGTTTACCTTAAGCTAGCAGTGAGGCCCAGTATTCCAGCACAGAGTCTGTTACTCTTTATTCTACATGCCAGCAGCGGGATCTAACCTTGGAAATGACAAGCGTGTGTCTGCGAGTGTTTGTGTGGTGAGAACGAGTCACACAGCTGGAATGCTGGGCCTCTCTGTGGATGTTGGCCTCCACTCAGTGCTGATCTTTTTCCTCTCCTTACCAAAATTCAGACAGCATTGAGTGCCCACGCACATATACTCTTCTCTGTGTCCATTTTTAAATAAACATCGGCCTACCTCTACTCTGAAGGAGGGTAAGAGTTCAGAAATTCCCTCCTCTTCTCATCATCATCATCCACTATGGTTTTATGTTGTAATAATGATGACTTGTGAGTTCTGGCATTGCAGTTTGTTATGAGGACAGAACCATGTAGACTCGTCTTCTCTTTATCTGACTCTATCTTCCTTTTCTAAATGATTGTGTTGAGTGACCATGCTGAAATTTAATTCACTGACAGCTATATTCTGTCCTTTATGTGAATTCAATAAGTCACTGGTGCATCTGATCCTTATTAACCTGTATTTACTTACCTCTAGTCATGATAGTCACTAGTTTATCCTGCAGTACTGTTCGTTCTGTGTAGGTATTTCTTGCCTCTCCTGTTCTCTTGCTTCTTTCCATCATTCCCCTAGGTCGAACAGCTCTTTTAATAATGCAGCACATCATCCTGCCAGCCTCTCTCTCCGGAGAGCTCTTGTGTCGATTAGGCTGCAGAATCTGGAGCCGAGCCAAGGGCCTATTCACTGCATCACTGCACAACAAGAGAGTCGGAGAGAGAGGGAAAGAGCTAGAGAGATGGAAAAGACATGGTGGCATGGCCAGTGAGGTAGAGATGGACAAGAGTGCAATGGGCTTGAAGACATTAATGGAGAGTAGTGGGAACACGCAGAGATGAGAGAGGCTTTTATCACTGCTGAGGCGCCATCGTAGCATCAAAAAGTCTTGTCAGCATAAGTCACAGACACGGAGGAGTGTCACAGTTATGGTTTGCCTGATCTGTTAAATTCTGTATTTTAGCTGATCTTTCTTTGTGTGGTCATCCACTGAGAAATTCCCTTTCAGATTTGAACATCTGATTCATCATTTGACTGCATTGGTACATAACACCATTTTATAGCTACTTTCTCAGTTATGTGTCTATGTAGTTCTCTTATTGTTTTGTTTTTAACTTTGAGTCCTGTTTTATAAGCAAAGCCCTAGTTTGTGTGTTTGTTTGATTGTGTGTGTGTGCGCGCGCTCCTCTGCAGCACTATATGCTCCTGAGCTTTTGGAACAACATGGATGCCTGAGCATACAAATATTTGTTGCCATCTGTAAATCTTTGCTAAGCGTCACTGAAATACTGAAAATGTTTTTAACATCCCAAACAGACATGCAGACATACACAATCACACACATGTGTAAGCCACAAAGCTACATCTTTTGAACCAAAGGTTACAACTCAGAAATGGCTTGTTGTTTTTGCAATGAAACATGCAATTCATGTTGCATCTTCTGTTCTCTTCACAGCAAAAGCCCCCCAACAATGACTGGCGCTTCACTCAGGGACAGAGACCTGGACCTAGCGGGTGAGTAAACTGAGATGCGTGCACACACACACGCTGATAAAATGCCCAGTAATGTCAAGGACATGTTGTGGTGCACAAGGCGAGCTTATCGCAAAGACAGAGGGAATGATGAAGGAGGGGGATAGTGAGTGCTGTAAACATAAGAACTGGCTGCCTGCAGGGTGCTAACTGTAAAGTACTAATGACATCAAAGTCACAATGCAACCATCCGAATAACACTTTGAACTACATTGGAGTGATGCTGTAATTTATGGTGGCATTTTACTGCCTGATTGTGCACAGTGAATTCAGATTCTTGATTTACACTCCTGAACTGAGCATCTCCGCCTGGTTCCAGGCTGCTTCATAAAATGGCTGCCGCAGCTTCAGCTCCCCCTCCCCCTCCCTCTCCTGTTCCTCTCCTCTCTGCGCTCTCTGAGCCTGTGCGCCATCACTCAGTACTACTGATGAGGGACTGTGACCAGAGCTAGTGGGGGGATGGGACGGCGTATTTATCCTTTTTGCTCACTCTTCATTTTCTGCCATCTGAGAGGTCGTACAGATTGCTTACTTGAAATTTAATTTTTGACACTAGCGACTCGCCCGTTAAAAGACAATAGGTGAATTATGTGTTTCTATTATAGATGTGCGTTTTAGTGAGCATTTGTGTTGATGGACTGCTCTTTGCCCATATTGAGGGGAGGGGGCGTAAAATGGAGTGCATGCAGTCACAGTTTTCACTGATTGCACAACACATTCAGTGAGTCAAAGCAAAAAGCTCTGTTGAGCCAAGTCAGGGAAATGTTAGACACACAAACACATGCCACTGACGTTATAGAATACCGCCGGGTTTATGGATACACTGGACGTAATTCGTGTTAGTGGTGGAGAAAAAGAAAACTAACTTCCCTACTCTGGTATTTTAAATAGATATGACAGATGCAACATATTTTCCACTGAGATCTAGAACACAATAACTCAGCATTCCCCTTTTCTCACACCAACTCCAATCTTCAGTCAAATACACAATGATTCTTAATCAGACTGTATAACTTCTTGTGTTTTTAGTCCCCACATGCCGTACGGTACACACATACGATGGACGCCGAAGAGTGGGACAAGGTACTAATTTAGACATAGATACTATCTGGTCACTCTCTGTCCTTAGCAGCTGATCAGTGTTCAGTTCTGTCCGCTCACTGTTCGGTGGAAGAAGGACTCCATCACAAATCGGCTGATGAGGGCAGAGAGTGGCAAAAATCTTTTAGGTAGTGCACTGCAGTTGAGTGCTGTGCTGTGTGTAGATGACCTAACCCATAGCTTCTGTTAGTCTCCCTAAAAGTTTGATGGGGTTTGTTGATCGATGTGCATAGGCCACAATGCCTGCTGTGGCATAGAAAGGATTGTGACACTTTTGAGTTTGCGTGCAGTGTTTTGTAGATTTGTTATGCCTTGTATGTGTGCTATACATATAGTCGTTTTAGTGTGAGAGCTCTTGTTTGCTCTCCTTTCAGCAGGCTGTCTTAGCATACAGTGTTGCCTTTGATGTGTGTCTGTGATGGTTGTAGCTCAACATCATCACATGTGGCTTTTTCATGTGATTTATCCGCTGAACAACTACAAGACAGAGACAATGCAGTCAGCTGTCTCATGATTTAGCTCCTTAAAAGGCCTATTAGAGGTTAAAAAGTTCCTCAATGAAGTAAACAGCTCTCCACATTAAACCCTCGAGGTCAACAAAATGAAAGTTTGAAGTTAATGTCTAGAAGGTTTTCGGCAAAACAACACCACCTTTAGAGATAAAACATGTCATGTATGGAAAGGAAAAACGATAGCCCTATCTGGCCAACCAAGGACATCCCTCTGGAGTCTGGACCACAGTCCACAATCTTGCCCACAGGAAGTGATAATTCTGACCACAGGAAGCGCTTAACGCAACCACAGGATGTGATAAGTTAAGAGAAATGCCGATTTAGCACAAATGAAGCATTCCCTTTTATCTTAAGTGATGTGAAGAGGCACAAAATGGCTGCCCTGCCTTTACTTGACCGGGCCTGTTTCTCATTGGCTGCCTGGCACAGGACGTACATGTTTCTCTCCCTCAGTCCCTCTCTGGCACTGAACTGAAAACCACTTCAGAGTTTTGGCAGTGAGATCTGGCAAACTGCTCTTAAACAAATCCCTGTTTTTAGAATTCCTTTCCCACTTTTCCCCTCATTGTGTCCTCCCCTTTCTCTTGATTCTCTAGAGCAAACCAATTTGTCCAAGAGTTTTTTTTGTTATTTTAAATAGAAAAGAGGGTGTTCCCTCTTTATATGTATTTAACACACTATCTATACACACACACACACAGTCCTGCTTTCCTCATTTATTACTACAGCCTATACTTGTCAGAAAGACGGACATGAAACCTTGGTGTGCCTTTAATCCCTAATGTGTCATTTACAGTCCTCTTTGGAGCTGTAAACTCCACCAGAACCTTTTACACATGTCCCTGTTCGTTAATGATCTCCACTAAATACCCTCAGGTGGTTGGTTATTACCCTAAACAGTCAAATAACCAATGTATTGCACATGCAGGCACAATATTCAGGAGCTTGAGAGAGTAGCTCAAACCATATGTATTGTTTTTGCTCTGGAATAACTCTAGAATAGCATCTAGCATCCATAATGGTTTTGTAGGATTTTATGTGACTTGTCTTCTAATGAAGTGAAGTGACATTATTGTTTTTTTGTCCTGACACAGCGTACCAGCAGCATGAAGATAATGTACTGCAGTTGTGTTGTCAATCAAAACCACCACCTAACAATCCACGGATGGAGATTTATTAGCACTTTGGGAACAGGAAATAGGATTAAAGCATTGTGAACTAGTTTTCAGTCGTAGAGCTTGTGTTGGTGTGTTATAAGTGTGGGAATGGAAATAAGTAGGTGAGCGTAATAGATCACAGGTCTGCTTTCTCCTGTGTTGCCCCCACATGCAAATCGCAGACCTTATATAAACAAGCCTTTGAAGGTGAAGTTTGCCCAGATGGAAATGTTCAGTGCTCGCTGAGCACTGCATGTGTGACTATGCAGACAGCTATTTCCTTTAACGGCGGGATCATTAAATTTTTAAATCTTCTTTAAGATTTACTAGACGGCACAGTGCTCATGGTCATACCGGCGAGAGAGTGAATGTCGTGCCATGTTTACTGTGTGTGAATGCGCGAACACGCTTGCTACTGTGTGTCTGTGTGCAGACACATTTGTACATGCCTTAACAAGAGTGTGTTTAAGAGTACGCCTTTGTTTGAGACACTCCCTGTTTTGTAAATTATACATCCTCCTTGTTATCCTTGCTGAATTCTCCTCAGGCTGTATATTTCGCCGTCAGCTGCTTTGCCTTTACATCATAAACCACCAACTGTCACACCAGTGAGCTAAACACACACACATTGGAGGGGACGACCAGTTGTTTACTGTTGTTCTTTTGTTTTCGCCACAGGGCAACCGGAGGACCTGAGGTTGCCATGGGAACTGGCCCCTGGCCCCAACCCCCGACTGAGGCTGAGCAGCTCCAGGCCCTGATGGCTGCAGCCAACGGTGAGTCCTATACCTCCTCATCTTTTTCCTCGTCTCCATCAATTCATTTTGTTTCTATACATAAACTTAACGAGGGTGCGTGGGAAGGAATGGTTTATTTAGGTTCCTGCTTGGTTGGAGGGCACCTAGCCAGACTCACTCATTGATAAAGCACTCTGGCTCCACATCGACGTTTCCATGCAGTGGTTGCGTGCTAATAAGCGTCACCTCAGATGTTACTCACACAGTGGACGTCACTACCTGCAGTTCCTCAAATAAACAGTACAAGTTTATGTGTTGAACTCAATAACATGACAGAGATGTATGTTTTCACTGTACACACTGTTCACATTCACAGTGTTTTTTATAAGCAGAAGACTACCAGAGCATCTTGGACAGTTACGTAATACACAACCAAAGATTCCCATATTGCTCAACATATCCTTCTTCTACTGTCCTGTTTCTCAGTTCCTGCAGTGACTGAGGGGACACACACCGTGGTTTATATTTGGGCTGTTACTGTGGAAGCCTTAGCAATAACTTGAAAAAATACAGTGACAAACACAAATTACACAGAAATGATGCAGAGACAAACGCAACAGGATTGTTACCAAATAGACTCAGGTCATTGTTTCCATTGTTGTTTTAACCATTGACACATCACATCTCCCTCCCTCTACACACACACACACACACACACACCCTCCCCCCTCTTGGACACTGCACCGGACGTAGTGTGGAATTTTTTCCATCAGAGTGAGAGACAGAGACGGAGAGAGAAAAGGCTCTGTCTTGGGCATAGTAGTAACATGCATATCAGCACAAAGTTAGACAGAGTGAAAAGTTGGTTCCATCAGGAAGGAAAGAACTAACAGTGCATGTGACAAACACTGAATGTCGTCACTGTGTTGGTAAGCACAGCGCAGGAGTAATCAATTAACAAAGCACTGTGTGAATATGGGGTTTTCAGTTACTGCTTTGGCTCTTTGGAAGCCAGTGCAGTCAGCACGACAGGCTTCATGTGCAAATGTCTGCATATATAGGCTGAGAGGAACTACAGAGCGAGGGAGGGAGCGTTTGTGTCTCTGGCTCTGCAATGCAGGGGTTTGTGGGAGAATTATGAGCCGAGCAGCTACGTCATGCGCGCACACACTGGAAACACAGAGGAGTGTGCTGGGGAGACATTTTCATCATCCCTGTTTTTACTACTGCCCTCAGTTTTTAGTTTAGCTAGTACACACGGAATCTCAAGTACCATATTTATTGTAATAGTTGGTTTAATCTCCTTCTTATGACCTATTTTCGTTTCACTACTTTGATACAACACTGTCACAGTAAAACTATCAAATTCTTGTTGTCTAACAACTTTCATCCTTCTCTCCTCTCCCCCCTCACCCCTTATTCCCCCACTCTGTCTCTCTTCCCCCCAGAAGTGAGCGAGGCTACGGCCACCCTGGGGCCCGGCACTATGGGTCTGAGCACCCGCTACAGCCCCCAGTTCACCCTGCAGCATGTGCCCGACTATCGCCAGAACGTCTACATCCCTGGCAGCACGGCCACCCTCACCTCCAACCCCCAGCAGCAGCAGGCCACAGCCCAGCAGGCCACCCAACAGGCGCTGCCCCCGCCCCAGGCCTCGGCCCAGCCCGAGCCCCCCAAAGCCGCTCAGACCCCTGCCTCCAAGAAGAAGTCCACCAAGAAGGAGAAGAAGTAGAGGTGGAAGAATGAAAAACTCGGCCGGATCTGATGAGAAATTCAACCCCCCATACCCCTTCCATTAGGTATCTTACTGCTCTGCTGTCACTCATGCTAGCCACGGTCTAAATAATGACAGCAATTCACTTTTAATCACATGGACGATGTTGATGGTTCTATGAAAGAGTGTCGTGAAGAATCTGAATGTGCTGAAGGCTGTCACTGGTGTTGATAACCCGTCCTGTGCTAAAGGTCGAGTATTGCTCACATAATCTTTGTCAGTGGATCATTTTGGCAGGGTATGGGGGGTTATTGTTTGTTTGTTTTTTTTAGTTAAATCAAATTAACTTGGACAAAGAGATTCAGTGTAAGGAACCTTGCTGGGACAACAAGGATATACGCAGTGATGTATTCAGAGATGAAATGTTAAGTGTCTTTCATGTTGGATTTATTGTGCTCTTTCCCTGAGGTGGAAAGTCAGCCATTGTAAAGTACGCTAGTTGCCATCCATTTGATTCCTATATAGGGTTAGCCTTGCAGGGTCTTAAAGCATAAGTCCTGTTGATATAAGGCTGTTGTTTGACAGGTATTACAAACTCTTCTGCATGCTCTTTAAGGTTCAAACCACATATACTAGTTTAGAGTTGCAAACTATGCATTGCAAAAGCAAAGAGGAGACCCTGAATCTGTTATCCTCCCTCCAATCGCAGGTCAATATAATGCACATGTAGCATTTACTTGACACAAAATGAAAATTACTTTTGTAATCATAGTTTTAAAAAAAAAGTACGAGTTTAATCTCTTGATATTTTTATGACCTGAGCATGCACCCAGAGGAAGGGCTGGCAGAGGGTGGGGTGACATGGCGTTGTGTCATGGAGACACCAGCCATGCTGTCCATACAGGTGGTATAGCAGCAGGGACTGGCTTCTCGTGTAACACCTCCAGATGGGCGCAAACGTCCTGCTGCCCTGCACCCTCTCCCCACCCCTCTTCACAACCCAGCTCGTGTCCTCCCCTCACTCATTACTCCACGTTGAAAGCCAAACAAAGAGAAATGCACTGTTCATATTTTGAAGATGATGATGATGTAGGGGTAGTAATCACTTCGGTCTTTAGGGAAATGCGTAGATGTGGTAAACGTAAGTGCTTAGGAGTTTCTAGACACTTTGCAAGCCGCTAGATTATTTCCCCTCACTATCCTGAAGTGCTGAAGACACTTCTTGATGTGACACAGTAACATGTTTTTTTTTTCTTTGGGAGATGATGATTCGATAGCATAGAGGAATTGTTTGCATAAGATATGAAGTCTTTACTTTGGCGTCCATCTGTCTGTCAGGCCTCTGGCCAGATACAACTGCATGAAAAGGCAGCTTGCAGGCTTGGTCACGGGGTGTGGAGGGGGTGTGGTGAGGGGTACACAGACTGAGGTGGCACCATTACAACGACCGGAAGGATGGGGAAACAATCTTGGCTCTACCCACTGAATGTACAGAGGAACCACTGTTGACTTGTCCACCCCTTAAACTTTCTCTAATGCACTGACCCAGGTAGAGGTCAACAGAGCCAAGCACATCTGTCCCTGTTGGTGAGGACATACCACTCAAGAGCCCTTTGAAAAGTCCCTCCTCTATTGAAATCAGTGGGAAACCTTAGCCTTTACCCGTCACCTCTCCTCTCCCCTCCCCGTTCCTGCGAGGCTCTTCCCCACTGTAAATAAACAGGTCCTGTCGATGGTATGAGCCAGTTCTTTGTAGGGACCACGTCTAACATTTTCAAAACAAAAGTCCCTCTCCACAAGGCGTGGCTTACTACTGGAATGTGTTGCATTTTGTTTTTCAAGAAAAATAAGAAAACCACAGTTTTAAAAAAAAAACTCAATGAATAAAAACCTGAGATGTTCTTCAACAGTTTGTGTTGCAATGTAGTAACTAAGCACCGTGGAAGCCAACTAACTCTTCAGTGTAAATAAATGAATTAAAGATAACTTTAGATAAGTAAACAAAGTGACACACGTAGACTAGTTAACTTGTGATATGTGTTGCGCATATTTTTGTGTTCATTTTCTCTCTACTATCTTTTATCACCCTGTAAAGAAACAAAACAAAAAAAAATATGGAAATGTTTCTATCCTTCTGTAACCTCTTAATGTTCTTTTGCGGTGATTTTATCTTGTGCATTTGTGAAAGAATGCCTCATTCTCTTTCTGTCCATATGAACAAATGATTATAAATATTATATATGTGTAAGTCCGTCCGCTGCTGAATTAATACTACTCTATCCTGCTGTATTATCTTTCTTATCAAATGCTTAGCCCCCACGCTTTACCCCTGTGTTACTCTTATTTTTATGCTAATATTTATATTGCTGTTTTATTTTCTCTTGAACACTGACATTTCAAATAAAAACATTCTGAAATCATTTAAGAAATACGTGTGTGTGTGTGTTTGTGTGGTTTGTTTTATGCTAATATGTGTAATTTTCACATAAGCTATAGTTTAAGTGAGTTAATTTTGTGTATCAATAATTACGCTGCTTATCCTATTCATTCATGAGACTCACCTGTGAAAGCATCACATGCTGTACGATACGTTTGCAATGTATCTTGGGGCTTTTTGTCCATTCAGCAGGACTGAGGTACTCTTAATGTTTCCCGGGAAGCATTGCTCTATCCCCTGGTCCATTTCAGGCATCTTTTGTGGCTGACAAAAAGGCGTGAAAAGACGACGACACATGTGGCCACAAAATGTTATTTCCAGTGATGTTTTCAGTTAAAAATAAACAGACTTGGCAACTACTGTTCCCTCAGCACATGATACATGGGAGTAATGAATCAGGACACTTCACTGCCATGCAACTCCTGTTGATAAAAGGACACCGTTATATGCGTTAAATCTACTAAATTATGAGTCTAACTGAGTTGTACAACATTATCAAATTTACTGGAATTACTATTTTAAAAGTCACCGCAGCAAGAAATTCATTTAAGTAAAAGCAGGAAACATAAAGACATAGTGGTGATTGATACATCAGCAAAAAAGATGGACATTGCACAACACTTGACCTTATATTATGTGATGTCTGCTAATGTCTAAATCCAGAAAATAGATTAATGGTAACAAGACATTGAAGAAACTGAAAGTAAAAACATGTCTATATTCATTCCACCTAAACTGGCTGTCTCTTCCTCTAGCTCATCATACTAGAGCCACATGATCTGTAGCTTTACTCTCACAGATCCTGGGGCCACTACAGGGAACATGGTAGCCTGCCCAGGCTCTTTGTGCCTTTCACAAGGTCTTACACAATAACATACGTCCCTATAAATAGCCGATGGGACGTCACTGAGCAAAACAAAAGGAGCAAGCTTTAACTTACTGCTGCAGATGTTGGGGGATGGAGGAAGGGCCTGAGGAGCTGGAGGGATGCAGATGATGAGAGTGTTGTTCATGAATTAGGCGCAACATCCATTCTAATGCCAGCTAGTGCAATTTTTCCAAGTTAAGGTTCCTGCCTGAAGATTACACAAGAATGAAAGCTATAAGATGTTTGAGAGCATACCTGAAAAAAAGATATTACATTTTTTTTTTTTATCCACATCTGCTTGTTTTGAAATGAATTATTTTTATTAAACATTCCTTTGATTAATAAAAAATAAAATAAAATAATTTTAACTCGACAATCCAATTACTCACACGGCAGCATTCCCACAGCATAGCTACACTGCAGAGTCACATACCCAAAATGGCCGACTCCTCTCACCCTGCTCTCATTGTGTTATGTGGTTGCCACGACAACTGTCAGCCCCAGTGGCTGGATGCTTTTCTCTGTTCTCCACATCTTCATTACAGATCCAGTGGCTATTATTGGCTTGGCTCGGGGCCTGGCTGAGTGGAATGACCTGTAGGGAGACAAACATATTCAGCCTTTAGTCAAACCTGGCAACTCCGACAGGAGACAAATGAAGGAAACATGGCAGAGCTGGGCAGATATCATCCCACACACAGACATAAGTGGATGAGTCAGAGGTAAGAACGCACTGTGGGTTTGTCCCCTGTGTGATTCACTGGAGATCTACAGAATGAGCTTCCATCTGAGAGCTATTTTGAGTAACAATCAAAGGGAACTGATGTAGTATTCATATGTGTACAATATGCATATGCTATTATATTTTACAATAGCTTTAGAGTTACTTTATGAGTCACAGGATGACAAACATCAGCTGACAGAGACTCCTACTGTCCTCACTGTCCCCATGTGTCATCCATTTCTGGAGGGGAGACCCGACAGAATGGGGAGATTGTTCTTTTATTGCCCCCTTTAGGTCCCCCACCCTATTACGGTTAATTAAGCACATTCCTACTGATTAAACACACACAGCTGAAAAACTTCAAACTAGTGATGTATAGCAGGGCTGTCCAAAGAGGGAAATCATAGCAGACTGGAACTTGACAATGGACAGCCTGTGTGAGGTAATGACATTAGTCAGACAGCCTGGACACAGGAGTGAATAACAGGCAGCGTCACATCCTGAATGTGACAAGTACATGTAAGCAGGCATGTGGCAGCTCACAGACACACTTATACGCTGTGGTCAGTCAGTGAGCCAGTGGAGAAGTCAGACATTCAAACAGACTCACAAACAAATGAAAAACGAATTCCTGAATAGCCTCTAATCAAATTTATTCTAATTTGTCTTTATTCTCATCAGAATACTAGAGCAGAGTGTCATCTCCTCTCCCACAGTGCGTGAGCTACTAGCAAGTCCAGCGAGAGGAAACATGGATCTTATTTCAGGTTAAGGAGGATTACATCTGATCCATGAGTAGAAAGAGCTGGATGTGATGTCATAGCCGCTAGTGGCGGGACAGGAAGTGAGTTTCCGCGCCCATTTTACCCCCCCCCCCAGTAGTCCAGCAAAAGGAAGGAACCCTCCCCCAATCCTCCCCCTCTGACTTGCTCGCTTCTTCCTTCCCTGCCCCCCTCCTCTCGTTCCCTCCTTCCTCCCATCCTGCAGCTGTCTCTGTAGTGGATTGGGTCACCACATGTTGGAGGACAGAGCACTGCTCTGAGGATATGTACACTGGAAACACACCAGGGATAAAGACCAGTTTAATCAGGTCTTCACCACTTTACCGGAGAGTAACTCTGGGATGAAACGTATATAGTATATAGTAACACAGTTAAGTTAAGCAGGGTCTGAATCCAAATAACACACTTAGTGGAGATTACATATGAAAGTTTCAGAGACTCAGAAACAGACAGCAGTGGGTTAATGTGATTTCTTCTCATGCAAAGACAGCAAGAAAGCGACTCTGCTGGGTTTTTTTGGATGGATGTTCCTAATAAAAAATTAACTGGGGCAGAAAGGAATGGAATCTTTTTTTTCCTGTTGGCACACTCAGCCAGCTCCAAAAATACACTCCGGCTGTCCTGTACAACAACAAATATCAAGTGATATTCACTGATCGGTTGAGTATGAAAACACATTCCACTCATGCACTCTCTTACTATCCCTCTCTGTGCTTTGCTAAAGACACCATATTTCGAATTTTAGGAATGTGTCCATCGGGCAGAGTAACGGGAGCTCAGCCGTCTGAAAGAAAGAAGGGGAGGCCATTGAGCAGGAGCATTGGACCACTGGAGCCTGAACGTTGCTAAGGCTAACAGTACCCTGATTTAAAGAGACACAGTAATGTGTTGGCTGCTGGCTCGCCTTAATCACAGAGATGGAGCTGTAGCAATGTGGAAGAAGAATACAATGCTCCCTTTCAAAGAAGCAAACCCTTTTTCTCCTCATCTGAAAAGCTCCCTCTCTACTCTTGCTCTCCCTCTCTCACCCTCATCTCCTCTGCCAAGAGCTCTCGCGCCTGTTTTCTCAGCTGGGAGGATGGAAATCAGACAGAGGGGAGACAGGGAGACAGGAATGAAGGGGGAAAGGCAGACTGGGGGATAGTGAGGGTTGAATTCAGGGTGACAGAAGCAGGGTTAGTTGCCTCATTTTGATTTTGCTGCAGCGAGGTTGGAGGAAAAGAAGGGAAGAAGTGTCTTATGCTTCCATCAGGGTCAAATGTGCAAAACTAAGCAGTAATAAGTCATGTGATCTGCTCACAGGTAATGGGCAGAAAAAACAAAATGAAGAGCAATCTCATGGACCTCAATTTGTTTTTCATTCACTCAAGATAGAACAATGTGCATGTTTTGAGGGGATCAAAAGCTTCCATCTGGTGCAATGTGGTTTGAGGGCATCTCCTGCCCCCACCCTGTTTCTACACTCCAACACACACACACATCCTACACTCAACCATAACCCCAATCCCACTTTACAAGCTGTACACCCCATAAACCCATAACCCACCCCCCATCCTGCACTCAACAACATGCAGATACCACACCCCCAGCACAGACGGTGCAGAGTATCTAATCCATTTCCTCCACCACCGTGGTTGTCATGGAAACGCAAAATTCCCCATCCGAGTGACAAGAGAGGGAATGAAGCGAGGAGGGAGGGTGAATTCAGTAGCCTAAGTAAGGATGCAACAAAGAAGCCATTAAGCTAAAAACCCTCTTTCTGCTTTCTTACTTTACTTCTTTAACACTGCTGCTAGAAAGGATTGTGTGTGTGTGTGTGTGTGTGTGGCTACATGTTGGCACCGCTGCATATTGAGAATGCTGTCGCTACTGCATGTGTGACATTTTGCACATAACAGGGCATTCGCCGGGGAAGTAAGTGTGTGCTCTGTGTGTGTGTTCTCAGGGGTCGGACACGCTGTGAATGTGCAGCACCTCAGACATGCAGACACTGACACAGAGGCATGTCGACAACTCAGCACCATGGCGACAGGTGTTGCTGCGGAAATGGTGCAGCTGCTTCAAGGATATTTCAGGCTAATAAGCGTGCACCATGAAGCTCCCCACTCCCCACTCCTTCTCTCTATCCCCTGAACCTACACGCCCCTGCCTGATATTGGAGGCTGGAATACAAACTCTGAGGGGAGTCCACCTTTAACATTATTACATATTCAGCTGGCTGGCTGATAAAAGGATCCAGATGCAGAGGTTGAGATAATGAAATTTTTCGTCATTTGAAAAATGACAAAGTAACTGCTGTCATGAAAAGGAAACTCAGAATAAACACCAAACTTAAATCCTGTAATTCCAAAAACACATTCATTTCAGACCTCAATGAAATTGTTTGATATTTTTGGGGAAATAAACTTATTTGCTTTGTTGCCAAGAGTAATGTAATAAGGTCAATACCTCCATAATATCTGCTTACTTATATCTTAAGTATGGACCTGGAGCTAAGAACAATTAGCCTAGCTTAGCACAAAGCCGGTCTTGACCTTCCTGGGGCCCCAAGAAAAGTTCTCATCTCAGGGCGTCCAAAACCAACACTTTCAGAAAAAGTGACAAAGCGTAGTTCTTTG